CTGAGAAACAAATTCATAAATCACCTTCTTCTGAAATTCTAAAGAACACCTAACTGTGTCACTGTTGTGTATGAAGAATGGCGAAAAAGGTAACACGTCATTATCTGCAAGGAAGATAAACCCCAAACTGCAGCGTGCCAGGATTGCCGCTGTGGTCGTGTGTTTTTGCGCTAAACTTGCAGATCGCTAACAGTAGGAATGGTCCTTCGCCGTAGTTTGCGTCTGAACTCATATAGGCTGTATTTCGGCCTCGTGTCGCACGCAGAGTTGAAGGACGCCCGCTGGGATTAAAGCATTGCATTATGGAGCCGCATGGACCTTCGTTGCGCATGATTATCAGTTTTTTGCATGAAGCCCGATCATTTTCCCAGTGAATACTAGTTCATTGAAAAAATGCACATTTGAAGGAAGTCGAAGAGGATTATGAAAATTGCAAAATGCAGGCGCTTCTGAATTGACTATAAAATTGAGTATTTGTTATGTCTGCGAACAGCGAATTTCGTCTCCAAGATGAAATAAGACCACACGTGAATTTAGAATATTCCCGCAAAGTTTCATTTCATCAGCTTGTCTGGTAAGCGAAATAGCCACATCGCTGCAAACATCTTTGAAGTTTTTTGTTAGGAATTAACTATCTAACAGGTTCAATAATCTATTTAGAAAAATCGCGGAACTTACCCTCTCCTTTCTCCAACAAATTTCAAATACTGCAAGTCGTGGTGCAAATGCAAATCAAACCTCAGTTTAGGTATACGATTTTTATTTCAATAATAAATGTTCTGACAAAAGTACAGCTACTGTTTTCGGGCTAATTTTCGAGTTAGCACAGTGCCAGCTACGAACTTTGTCGCTACTGTACGCGCGGATGAGCGTGTGCGATAGTTGTACTTAAAATCTTCAACTCATATATGCACAGGGAATATCGCCTTGCAAAGTTTCGCCTTTTCATCTTGTCTCTTTCACGAAATTTTTCCCTCCAAACAAATCTGCATATTTTTTCGGGGTCCGTACGCAAGATTTAAACGTTTATGAGCGAAGGTTTTAATACGGGAGGGTGACACGTGGGATGGAAATATCACCCCATAATTTCAGCTTCCAGCTTTCCTGGTTGCTGAGTTGAAAGTGAGTGAAACACTAATGAGAATACAAGCTAAATGCAAAATGACAATCATTCATGCAGTTATCGAGCTGACTGTTTCAAGTCTGGCGCAAAAATTCACGATCGCCCCCGCAAGTCATGCGTTACAACTTGGAGTGTCTGAGGCAATTTTTCAGCATAAGATGTTGTATAATGGTATCTTACTGAAAAGTTTTTTGTTAGGAATTAACTATTTAACAAGTTCAATAATCTATTTAGAAAAATCGCGGAACTTACCCTCTCCTTCCTCCACCAAATTTCAAATACTGCGTTTCTCTCAAAAAAGCTCCATTTAAAGAGCACACCAAACTGTAAGGTAAGGAGCACTTCTGAAAAAAAAATTTCAGGAGATTCGGGAAACTTTTGACAAATCAAAACCCGGTCTACTGCTCACCGCAGCTGTTGCTGCTGGCGAGGATACTGTACTGAATGCTTACGATATTAAATCGATGGCTAAGTAATCTCTTCTTTCACATTTTTGTTGTAATACTGGAGTTTTAAATTGGTTGCTTTTCTATCTTTGTGCTGCACTGTTTTGTAAATTGTTCCTGCGATAAAATGGCGGCCAGGACTTACTATTCTGATGGATTATAACATTTCAGAGGCATAACATTTCTGATCATAGGCAGAGGCATAACATTTCTGATCATTATATTTAGTCGCCGATATCTCTTTTGTGAAAGAAAGTATAATTTATGAAAAATTTGCAAAATAATCAGATAATCTGATATGAATTGTAACATGAAACATTTGCAGTTCCTACGATTATATTTTCTTGATGTCCTACGATCTGCACGGCTCCTGGGAGTCGACCACGGATATGCACGCCAAACTGCGTGAAAAGAGCGGTGGTGGCATCTACAACACCGTTTGTACCTTTGCTTCTACACCACGAAAAATTGCTAGATCTTTGAGCATTTGAACGAAACCGAATAATTTTTTACCTCGCATGAGCCAACAACGCGTGACGCATGCAGCGTGCTTTCTCACAGCAGAATATAATTCGACTCCGAGCGTCGAAACCCGAAAGTTAAAATTCGGGGAATACAGGCCCTGAACTCATGAAGGATTCAGGCCCTGTATTCCCAGAATTTCCAGTCTTCTATGCGGCGGGCTTGGATTAAATCCTGAATTAATTTAATGGCTCTAACATCAAGGATTTGATTCGTTCAATTTATTGGAAAACTAGCTCTTTCTATAATTGAAAAAATGAACTGAAATCAATTTCTAGCTGCAACCAATGAGTGCAGCCTGATCTAGGTCCAGCTTGGTTTTAATTTTGTGTCACGGTAACAAGGTAGGTAATAAGCAAAAAATTTTACTAGTTTGACTCATAAAGTTATTTAAAGCAAGTGCCGAGAAACCATTCTCCAAGCTTTGCTGAATTTTAACTTAGCACTTCAAGCCCAAATTTAGGAAGATTATTAAAATGCTAAATTCAGAATGTCTCAGCTTCAACCTGTTATCAAAAATTTTAATGCGCATCGCTATATATTAGTATGCATTATCAGAACATAATAAGTATTGTTCGGTGCGTTTTACGAAATTTTGAGATCATTATAGAAAAAATATTCAGGAGTATTCAGCAAAAGTGTGGGTGAATGGAGGGATGCCAAAAAGCAAGGTCGTTATTGGGATCCCGACCTATAGTAAAGGATACCGCCTTACATCATCGGCAAACGGACTTGGTGCCAGCGCAAATGGTCCCGCAGCTCCTACTGCAGTTTACACCGACGGAGCGGGGGCAGCATATTGGGAGGTTAGTTTTCCAGTGCTAAAAAGAAAATAACTAAAGAAACGTCATGGTAAATTGAATTCAGCATTCTGCTGGTGTTTGCCGCGCAAAAAGTAAGAAAAGCAGTCATTAGATTTTTATGCCTTATGAATAACAGTTTTGAATAAAAAAATTAGTCTTGATAGATTCTTTTTATTGCTGCTGTTCAAGAGAGATGTTACAGATCTGTGATATGATCAAATCTGGTGGCAAGGAAACAACTGAGACAACAGCGGTTGGCGCATATATGTCACAAGGAACTAACTGGCATGGATACGACAATCCAGCGAGTATTAAAATAAAGGTTATCCCGTTGCAAATTTGTTGACCCTTCTACCCCCCACCCATAACTCAATGTAACGCACTGGAATTCGGAGCAGTAAGTTTTCGGGCTTGGGCATCATTATAATGAGTTCCAATATGACTGTGTTTTCAGATGGAATGGATTTTAAAGGAAGGCTATGCAGGCGCCTTTATATGGGCGTTGGACACTGATGACTTTAATGGAAAGCACTGTGGAAAAGGTACATATCCGCTAATGAACGCAATCAATGAGGGTTTGGGAGGCGCAGTGCTGCCAGAAACGACGACGAAAACACCCGGTCAGGTGAGAAAACGCTTCAAATTATTTGAAAGATACTGAAAAAAATATATATGTGGGAAAACTTGTAATCATGCTTAGTCTAGTTGGTGAGAATAGCGAAGGTGGAATTAAAAAAGAAGAGGAAATGAGAAAAAGTAGAAAGGAGGAAAAAGGCCAGGGGGCGAGGCTTCTTTGCTGTGTGCTTGAAAAACATATAAATTACTACTATTCAAACAAACAACTTTGTCCAACAAAGAAAAAAGTACATAAAAATTTTCAATAAACATTTTAAAAAATACAGGACGCAAAGACTTTCTGCGCGTACTAGATAAATTTGAAGAAAACATGTAAAAAGAAAGAAAGGTAGACTAGTAAGGTGGCATTTAGTGCCATTTTTAATTCTAGTGCGCAGTGCTAAAATGAGACGCTAAACACCAATTTCAGGTGACGACAAGCCGCTTTGCTTGCAATGGCTTAACCTTTCTAAAAAAGCAGTTTGCCCAGAGATGGAAAAAGCCAGCTGATTCAGATTTAGAGAGCGCCAAAAAAATCTGGTCCTTCTGGTGTACCAGATAGAGAGAAACAATAGTGGGTAGTTTTTAGCCTTCACC